GTTTTAAATATCGTTTCATATATCTTTCGGTTTGTCCTGTATGATCGACTTGTATGATTAAAAAAATCATGGTTTTCATCTTGGACGATGTGGGATGATCAAGTATCATCCCATGTATCACTCAGATCGTCTAGTATGATAGTCATCGTTCATCCTGTATAATTTGATCGAATAATTCAATCATAATTAGTCCCCTAATCACATGATCAATTAGACATAATTGTCATAAATCATCAATTACGATGTATATTTATTGTACGATTAGAACATAATTTTAATATTAATATTTTGCCTAAATTATGATTAGCGATTATTTTTTATAATCATAACTGATCGATAATCATGTATGATATGGATTGTACAATATGATTAGTTTAATCACTCTTAATTAACAGATGTGCCCCAATGAGGATTTTTATTTATTTTAACTAGTCGTTTAGTACGATATACATTGTACTGTACGATTAGTTCAAAAACTAAAAATTTATCTAACTCACCAACTCACTCTCTTGAGTGTGTGTGTGCAAGGTTACTCGGCTCAGTGTCCACCAAATACATGATTTGACTCAAGAAAGATAAAAGTATATTGAAATTTAAATTACAGACAGACTCAACCCTAGTCTAACCAATCTTGAGCTGATTAACGTTGCCAGTAAACTTATGAACCTGAAATGTTAGTGCATAGGACAACAAAATAAATATGCAATATGAACAGTGATAAAACAATAATATTTATTATCATCAAAATCATAATAATTGAGCATTATATGAAGAAGACAGTATGTTTGAAAATGATGTCAAATTGTACTATTGTATATAACTTTGAGATATTTATAAGAGCTAGATGTTTGCTTTTAATTTATTTGAAGTAATAAATGCTCCATCTTTATTTAATGATAGTTCTGATTTGTAAACTTGCCCCTCAAAAGAAATTAAATTTTTATGCATTTTTGAGATATGCTTTGAGATAATATCCCGCAGTTAAAGCAACATTGATACGACATCACAAAATTAGCTTGATCGGGCACGAATCTCGAGGCAAAAGCTAGTTGGAAACTTCAAAAATTAAATCCAGAAGCACCAGAACTCCGATTTCAGCAAGTCTACAATCAAACAGAGCGTCTCGGAAATACAAACCCAACGACACCAAATTCGACCCAATCCGAGTCCAAATGGGTCCGAATCAAGGACCCGAAGCGCTGTTGGAAGGTTTAAACCGCAATTTGAGTTACTAAACGGTCTTCGATTTTAACGAGCTTATACTTGAATCGAGAGGCTCGACGAGACGAATCCAACGAGCCCAAGATCATCGAATTCCGACATCATTAAGGCCTTCAAATGTCCAATAAACGGTGCATGATCAAAGGATTCGATATCGGCCGTCCATTCAAACCACCCCCAATTCGCCCATGATCTCACGCCTATTTGCGGGTTATGCCACTCCAGAAAAAACTATAAATAGAACCCTCATTCTACACAAAGGGGACTCAAGGGGAAGAGAGAGAAGAAGAAGAGAAGAAGGATGAGAAGGAAGAAGTTCCTCCTCGACCACCGTCGGAGCTCTTCCTGCCGCCTGAAGACGTCGGAACTCTACCGGATTTCCGTGAAACGCCGGGAATTTGCAGAAATTTGTAACTTTGTGAGAAGTTGATTGTAAATTGATCGTCTTGATTTGTAAGACAGACCAACCTTTGTACTTTAAATAAATACTGGTGGAACTTTGCAACTGGGCGAGGCCCCGTGGTTTTTTCCCTCTTTCGGATTTTCCACGTAAAAACCTTGGTGTTCATTTCTCTTTTCTGCTTGTGTGATGAATACTCGTATAATGCTAGGACGCAAATTTACAAACTCTACCGCCGCGTATATTCTAGCACGCAACAAACATGAATAGAGGAATTTATTCCTTTTGCAACATTTAACATTCTAATTTTTTTGATAAATTGAAAAAAATACATATCTTCTTAGGCTTTTAGACTTTTGAGATTTTTAAATAATCATATTATCTTATGAGGCGTATGCCTTCCTAAATTTTAGATGTACACATATCTTTTAAGGCTTTTTCTTTCTGAATTTTAAGTAAAATGTTCCTTCTAAGGTATTTTCCTTTAAAGATTTTTGGATAATCCTGAATCTTTTGAAGCTTTTAAACTTTTAAGATTTTTAGTATACTTGTGCCTTCTGAGGTGTATGCCTTTTAATATATTGTGTACATATATCCTTTGTGACTTTTACCTTTTGAGATTTTACGTACACATGTTCCTTCTAAGATTTTTTCCTTTTGAAATTTATACGATAATCCTAATTAAACATTTTAAGGCTTTTAACTTATAAGGTTTTTAATGTACTTGTACATTCTGCGGTGTATATCCTATATGATTATGACTTCTGAGATTTTATGTGTATATATTCTTTTTAATGCTTTTGCCTTCTAAGATTTTACGTACATATATTCATTCTAAGACATTTGCCTCTAAAGGTTTTTTAGATAAACTTGAAACTTTTGAGGCTTTTATCTTTTGAGATTTTTGAATGAGTGGAGACCCTGTCAACCACTTGCTCTTATAGAGTATTTCTAGTGAGGACATTATCCACTACTAGCTTCTCATTAAGATCACGTCATTAGTGTGTCTTTCTGGGGTTATGAGTATAGACCTTATTTGCCACTTGCCTCATGAGATATTTTTAATGAGGAATTTGTCTGCTACTAGCTTTCCTTCAAGGCTATCTCATGGGCATGCCTTTCTAGGATTATTCTTTAGACCATTGCTCGATTGCATTAACTCATATAAAATAAGTTGGGAGAAATCCACCAAAGAGTGTTTGACCTATCTGAGATTGTTAGTCAAATCATTGCTCGATGATTTTAATTTGTGTATAAGAGGTCAAAAGAAATTCACCAAGAATATTTGACCTATTTGAGATCATTTGTCAGACCATTATTTGATGGCATTAACTTATGTGAAAGGGGTCGAAAGAAATTCACAAAGAATGTTTGACTTATCCAATGTTATTTGTCATCATATTAATGTCTTCACCCTTATAAATTGTTTTGCAATGAAGACATTTATATTGCTTTCAACCATTAGCAGCTTTACTCTCAACAAAATGATTCTAAGCAATATATGCCTTCTCCCGCATGCTTTGAGTTGAATGTGCATATTGACTTTTTTGTTGATCCAGTCTATGATGTTAAACACAGCAACCCACATTTTAATTTGAATATAATCATGTGAAAGGATGAGGATAAAAAAGCCAATACTTTTCAAAAGAACAAGTTCAAATTAATTTCAATATGATGTCAAACATTACTCACTTTTATAAAAAATTTCAATAGTAAAAAGGTTTAATGGAATCTACAATCAAAAGCTAATTGAAAAAAAAAAGAGAGTTAATGACAATTAGCCAATTACTATCAATAGCACAAATATTAAGAATCTTCATTGATTGCCAAAACAATGTTAGTAATCATAGTCAAACTAAGTTATATTTTAATGAGGTGATTCAATTGAATGATTTGGTTAAAATAACAAAATATTAAAAAAATATAAGAAGATGACTTATCCCTCAATTAAGTATTCATGCTCTCGTTGTAATCAAAAGAATCACATATTCAACTTGTACACATAATAATGAAGGGAGATTTACATACATACCACTTTATACTTCTCTATTTACATATTTAACACTTAAAACTTTAATATTACATACATAACACCCATAGTTCATTTTCATATCAAATATGAGTGGTAGAAATGAAATATATGAGTGGTAGGAAAGAAGTATAAGTGGTATATTTGATATTAAAGTAATATAGAGTGATATGCATGTAATATTAAAATTTTGAATGTTAGATATGCAAATAGGATGTTATAAAGTGGTATGTATGTAAATTTCCATAAATCAAAACATTTATTTGTAGGCTCCTCATCTCCAAATTTAAACTAATTTGAAAACTTGATTTACGAATGAATGGAAACCACAAGCAATAAATATTTAAATCCCAAATTCTCCTAAACTAGCAGACATAGCGAGCAGGAGACAAGAGATGGAGATGGATGCTAACATGATTATATTACACGCAAGCAAAATGAATTACAGAAATGGGACCTTCGTTAGGTTATATTCCTAACTGAACTCCTTAGGCATTGGATCTTAAATCAATGGCTCAAGACCCGTCATTTTTTGAGCCGCATGGTTCTTAATAATTGGCACCTGTTCAACCGATCGGGCGCTGATTTGAAGTTGGTTTTAAGGATTAAGCTAATCGGCCGGGCAATCGGTTGAACTGGCAGGTCCGATCAGAGTTTTAAAACCACGATAAAAGTAATTTAGTTTAAAATGAATATTTTTGGAGTTGCTTGGATGAGTATAAAACGAATGCATGATTTTACTTTTTTTTGTTGAAGTAAAGTAAATGCAATGTAAATTGTAACAATGATGTGTCCATAGTGGTCGGGTGGCCGGCGGTGGGAGGCCTGTGGAGGCGGCATTGGTGGTGGCGGGTGGCCGCTGAGAGCAAGGTGGAGGTGGAGATGGTGGGCGTTGGCGATGGTCAAGTTAGCTTTGGAGTGGTGTAAGTGGTGGCCGCTGAGAGCAAGGTGGAGGTGGAGACGTGGGCTTTTGTCCATCACCGGAAAATTGCCCCTAAATGTATTTGGAAAATTGCCCCTCACCATTTTTTGCCATCTCTATAGGCCACAAGCCACCATCATTGTTGGACTTTAAGCTCCATTTATTTTAATAACATATATTTATGCTATGCTCATCATTTTTGGACTTTACGCTCCATTTATTTTACTTCAAACTGAATAAAAAATAATATATATTTATGCTATGCTCATCAAAATAATTTATTTTTTTTTAAGTATATTATATAATTTTTATTGTCTTCTATTAAATATGCATTTTTTTTAATCTAATCAAATGTTTTCATTAAAAAAAAAAAATCTTATTTAAAAAATGGACATTTATTACTAGAATTTGCCCTGGAACGCCTTGACCTTATTTTGAGACCGCGATGGACGTCCACTGGATCTTAGGCAGCTTCGTCTTGGCCAGACAGACGGAGTCACTCTGGGGGCTCTCTCTCCCTCTTCCGCCCGGTTTGTCGAGGCTATCGGAGAAAAGAAGGTAGAAGAAGAATGTGGGGCTCCGCTCGAGTGACGTTTCGGCGTCTTGCTACTGCGGTGGCCGGTGCACCCGTGGAGCGGTGGGCTTTTGTCCATCACCGGACGAATCAGGTTCAATCCCGCTTTTCCGTTATCGCCGAATTGCTTTGTTTGGTTTAGTTTCAGTTTTAATTGACCGTGCTTTCTTTCACATCTTCGGATGCTTCATGGTATATTAGTGTTTTGACTCTTTCTTTTTCAGCAACCAAGTATGTTATTTAGGACTTTTATCATAGAAATTTTTTTGTTGAAGCTCCTAACGCCTTTTGGATATTACAGACTGGTCTCTTAAGTAGCATTCTGGTCATCAATGTGGCATTTTAGCATGATTTAATTTTTGTGAGGTGGCGAAACTCTTCTTGTGATATTGTACCAGTGTTAGCCAAGTTTCTGAATCGAAAGGTTTTACCCAAGGTAAAAAAAAAAAAAAATCAACTTGTGGGACTTCCAAGCGTGACTTCCGAAGTTGGAAAATGATTCCTTGAGTGCAATGAGTACTCTCTGAAGGTTTGTTAGGACTGTCGAGGAAGGTTGGAGAAATTATTCTTTCCTAGGACTTCCAAATGCTGAAAGTTAACTCATTGGATCCAAAGGGGCTGAACTTGAAAATTAAAGAATTTATTTCTACAGATCCCATGGTTGCAAAATATTTAAAAGACTTGAAATGGAGACTTATTTATAGATTTCAAGTAGAAACTATTTAGGAAATTCTCAGATGCGGAGCAAATGCTGGCAATTTTGCACAACTCTTCCTCAAAATCTATCTAAAACAAAATAAAATAAAAACACTCTTAGAAACTCCCTGGTCCACATACATGAGCCATTTGAAATTATCACTAGTTACTAGCCTAGTAAACCCATAGATCTTGTTGTACTTCCTTTTGATTCTAGACCCAGTGAATTCTCACAATTATTTGCACATCATATGCATTATTTTCATGAAAATATTCACAAGAAATTAATAGTTATTTATGACAATTATAAGTGTTTTGTTGTTGTACATAGGAAACTATTAGACCGGTCCACTGGACCGGTCCAGCCGGTCCAGGCGGGACCGGTTCACGGGCGGAAATCGCGAACAGGCGGATCTGGCGGAGAACGAGCGGCCCGTCCGCCCCCGTAGAGCCGTTTATCCTAGGGTTTGATCATCTTGAATTTGAATGTAATTTGAGATCTCTTAGATTTAGGTTTTCTTTGGGCTCTTGGCGTTGCCAGAGATTTGGGAGAGAACGATCCTCCTCTCGAATTGAGGATCAATTGTATCTTGCTATTTTATTCATCGACTAGTGGAATACAAGCTTTTCTTTGAGTTTTCTCTCAGATTTCCTTGTTGTTTTGCTGTTTTTCTGCTATAAACAGCAGATTTCTGCTGTAAACAGCAGATTTCTGCTGTGGACAGCAGTTTCCATCGGATCAACTTCAGTTTTGGTGAGAAACACTTGTGAATCCAAGTGTTTCCTATCAGAAACACATGGAATTCAAACTAGTGGATAAGATAATGTTGCTTTTGAATATCGAGATGTTTCACATTGGATTATCTGAAAAAATACTTGCAAGAAATTTAGAGTCGTATGAAGCTTTGCAACGGATCAGGACTAATGCTGACATTTGAAAATAATTAACATCAATTTGTTCTTCAATATGACTGATTTGACTGAACTTCATGTGCTTGTTATCAATAATTTGGATTCCTCTGTTTTTTTACTCCCTACTTTTGAATGCACATTCAGAACCTTACAAGACATGTCTATGCAACTTGTCCCTAAAGTAATTATCGATGAGGAGTTTGTGTCTACTATTGATGGTAGATATCAAAGATATCTTATACGTTGGTATGCCAAGCCTACATGTGATGATTCATGAATTACTTTGCATTTATGCCTTGACTTAGGTTGACGAATATCAAATGCTCAATAGGTTGGAGCCAAAATTTTCAAACCCAATAGATTTGATTGAAATTTGAAAGTCTATTCGCCTTGAAAGCATAAAAAGTGATTATTCATATGAATTATATCAATCCTATGGTATTCCTTTAAGCAAATATAGTAGTTTAGAATCAGCTGTAAAATGTGAAATGCTAATTACTAGTTATTATGCTGATTTCCTCTATAGTTCCACTATTTTGCTGTTGCCCGCGTGTTTATAGTTATTGTTTCTTCATTGTTTTACTTTTTAGTGGCTTGCGGATGGTTATTCGTATTGGTTGCCTTTCCCTTGTAACTGATGTGGGGCCTGATTGTTTCATTTGTGGTGATTTCTATCCTTATTATTGTCCATTTAATTGCTAAGCCATTGGTTTCAAATGTTGATTGAAATTTTTTCTACATACGTGCTGAGTTTTCTTTTTGAAGCAATAACTTAATTAGTTGCTTACTTTTTTATATGTATCATTATTTTCTTGTAATTTGCGATTGTTAAATTATCTCGTGGAATGAATAAAAGATAATTGCTGTTTTGATAGTAAAATTGACAAGTATTTGCTAAAGTTATAAATTAGTAACTTGCAGATTGTGATTTTTCAGTTTCCGTCTTGCATCCTACAGGCTGATTAGAAATCCTAGACCCCTACTAGTCCTGCATCACTTAATATTCAAAATTCCATTGAGAAATTGTTTTGTCAAACCATTACAGTATCACTCATAGTTCTCCAAATCAATAAGTAGCTAACATGAAACTAAAGTTTATATACTTTATATTTATACATTTGTATTTGCATATTGGTAAAGTTTATTTTACTCGGTGTAATTTTGTATTAAAAGTCTTTAAATATTGGCCAAAAATCATTGACCTTGTATGTTTAAAATTCTATGATGCTTAAAAGGTCTTTTGCTTTAACGGTTAAAATATTTCTTTGTGCCGTCAGTGCCATCAATTAAAAAAAATTATTTAAAATATTTCTTTGTGCCGTCAGTGCCATCAATTAAAAAAAATTATCGATTCATTTGATTTTCATCTATTTGGCTTGTTGTTTGTGCTTGGGTCATGTTTAGCTTGATAATACATGACCTAAACATCAGGGGTGTCAATATTTGACCCAACCCGAAAACCCGATCCAAACCCGACCCGAAAATTTTGGGTTTGGGACAACCCGAACCCGAACCGGGTCGGGTTCAAGTTAGGGATTTCGACCCGTTTGTAAAGCCAGGTCGGGTTAGGGTTGACCCAGAAACCCGAAATCAACCAGGTTTGACCCATTTTTAATTAATTTAGGAGGTTTTTAAAAAAATTATTATGAAATAAGTAAATGATTTTCTAAAAAATAATAAACATTATTGTCTAAATTAAATTAAGATTAATTTATTTTAATTTGATTATTGTAAATCTTACCTTAATTTGATTTAGGTTTAAATAAATTGAATTAAATAATTTTTTTTTAGTAAAATATACCCGAAGCGGGTCGGGTTCAGGTTCAGAAAACCGACCCATTTGCGACCTCGTGACCCGATTTTGACAGCCCTACTAAACATGAACATGATTTTTTATCTCCTCAATGAACTCAAATTTAATTATGTTTGGCTTGATAGTTAACAAACTAAGCCTAACAAGATTGCAAGTTATTTATGTTTGACCATGGTTACACCCATAATGACAATTGATTTTTGGTTGCATATGCGGTCATGTCATTCTTGTTAGCAAGGATTTATCTTGATGAAATTCATATTGGAATAATCCTTTATTATTTCCAAGGTTTTAAAAATCGGACCAGTCCGACTGGTCCAACCGGTTCAAACGTGAACCAGCCACAAGGTCGGTCCGGTCCACTCTAAAAACCTCTTATGTATCAAATTGAATTGAACCGGTTTAACAGACAAACTGGTGAATTGTCCCCGACTCTTTTGAACCAGCTGGTTCAATTACCACATTTTTAAAATAATTAAATAAATAAATTTATTATATCAAAGATTATATATTAAATAATTTTTTTAAGTGAACAAATTAATTTATATTTGAAACATTTAATTTTAAATTTGCATGATATTTTTATTATATTTACTTGCCCCAAACCATCATGAAGCATCACATGGTTCGACCACTCCATGTGAGCTCTTAACACAAGAAAATTAAAAAAACTATATAAAAAAATAGCAATAAAGAGTTTTCAAGTGATGTAGGACTAAAAAGATGAGTTGAGGTTTATGAGCTCATAACATTTATAATGTCCATAAAATCCATTTTTAAACAAATTTTTTAATTAATACTTATAATGTGAATAATATTTATTTATTAGTTAATGATTATTTATACACTATAAAAAATAATTTTATCTATTTATTAGTGAGAAATTATTTTTACATAAATAATTTTTAGATATAAATTTATAAAATAAATTTTGCCTCAAGATTTAAGTAGTTTTCACTAGCAAAGCCAAAATGCTCAAAATGCCACAAAACAACATATATTTTAACGTAAGAAAGGGGCCAAACTGCCAAAGTCAGCCGCCCACCAAACCAATCAGAAAAGGTAGGCAAAAGGCCAACAGGCAACCGGCTAGAGCAGCTCAAAGAAAAGCACCGCGGAACAGAACAGCCAACGATCGGAACGGGCGCTAGGAGGGGAAGCTCGGACATGCAGAGGAAATACATGGAAATGAATATGGACAGCATTAATGAGGCTGAAAAAGGCATCAGAACTCTGTATCCATCATTACAAGGCAGTAAAACCCGAAACCAACCAAGCACAAACCAAGGAACCAAGTCGCCCAAAAGCAGCACCAAAAACAGCGGAACCCAAGGCAATGCATGTCAAAGCACAACCTAACACATGATCATAGTGCCTTCCTCATAGGTAGAAACACAAAAAACAAAAAACAATAAAATTCAAGATACAATATAAAAATGAACTTGCCATGCATCAAATCTCAACTCACAAAAATAAAATGTTTTGTCGAGTGTATCATTATGAATTCATTATCAAATAATCTCTCGTCGGAATTGATGTTCTATGTACCATATAATCAATTATTTTGCCACCAAAATTGTACAAGTTGAAAGGTTTACAATCGAAGCCCTCTGACAGTTTGATTTTACTACAAAATGATATTATAATTATATAATGCTAAGAACCCGTAAGTTCCCAATAGCTAAAATTCTTAAGTAAAGAAATTATGAAGTATAAATTGATAGGAGCAAACTCTATTATCTAAGATTGACTTACATTTGTCCCCATGGACAAACATTCATCCAGATTTACAAAGTTTGCTTGAACAAAAAAAATAACTCATGTTGTTTAGTAAGCATATTAGTTCATGCTGAGCCAACTAACATTCTCTCTGATTAAATAAACTATGAACCAGGAACCAGCCCAGATAACAGAACTATAGGATTTATCAGGTTAATATCATTATTCCCTCACGGTTCATTTAACTTCATAGTTGTAATCCTGATCAATTTACTGATACTATACACAATGCGTTTAGTGTCTATCTAATAACTAGCTTTAATCGAAAGTTCTCTCTCGTCATAAGGATAGGTAATTAACTATAGGGACTTACGCCTATAAGAAACCTAAGAAACCAAATAATAAAGTCATCGTGAAATGAGGATAAAATCTAATTATAGTGATTATCTTCAAACTAATCTAACTTTTGCAAATTTAATCCGAACCCCTAAACTCTATAGAGTCGGGCATAAATTTTTAAAGCCCACATCAATTGAAATGGTAGAAATATGGAGTATACACATCATTTTCGGCAGATGTATTAATTTACTTCCCAGAAAATAATGTTGCGGATTTTTCATGATTTATGATTTTGATGCTAGCAAACACTTATATTTCTCTACGACGGCCTTATTTACTAACATTTCAGGTCCACACGATCAGACTGCAATTTTGAACCAGCTCAAAGGAGTGTAGTAGACTAGGTCTGAGTCAGTTTTGTACACTTTTTACTTTCTGAGTCTATTGGTATTTGGTGTGGCTCCTGATGCTTGTAACTTGGAAGTATTTCTGACTATTTCCTAAAGTTTACTGTTTTTGTAACATCGATCGGGACGTATATTATAATGGGCTGGACGATCTGTTCAAAGCAGAAACCCTAATTAGGGAACCTCATTAAAACAGTCGTCATTATGGCTCAAAACACATCGTTCCTGGACGATTTTGTATCGGCCAGGACGAGGCCCAAACAGAAGAATTATGCCCCCGATCTATTTAGGAATTACTTAGGTATTTTGACCATCGTCCAGTGGATCGTCCAGGACTAAAATATCGTCATTGTACGATCCGGAGCAATTTTTCCAAAATTTCTCTGATTAATTAGGAAAGCAATTATGACTTGATTGCACGAACAAAATCGTCCCTGACCGATACGCTGGAAGATTGGACATCAAACAGCTGTTTTTCAGGGCGATGTTCAGGACGATATTCCACGATTTGTATCTGATCGTCCAAGATGATATAGTACTCGTCCTAGGACGATAAGAACAAATTCTTCTTATCGTCTCAAATCGTCCGGCTGATTGGGCTTAAATTGCATGATCGTACAGCGATATATTAATCGTAGCCTAGACGAATAGTCGCACACTGCATTAATGAGCTTGTTTGAGATTTCTATTTAATTTTTAGCAAAGCACTTTGTAAGTGTCTTGGCAGCCATTGTAGCTTCGTTCTTTTGGGGAAATTTGAAAGAAAGCTTGAAGAGGGAGTGAGGAAATGGAGAGTTTGAAGAGGGAGAAGATCTGTGAGGGGGACTCAAGGGAGTGTGGGGGGGTCCCACGCGTTGCTCAGGCAAGCTCGCACCTGAATACGTCGGATTCAAGGCTTGTGTCGAGGGAAGTTCACACAAAAGAAGATCTATTTTGGTGTCAAGGAGCCCGGCGACTCCGCCCGCAGCCGGGGTAGGTGAAGTGATTTTGTAAGGGCTTCTCCCTAGCTGTGGGGCTAAAGGAAGAGACACTTAATTTAGTGCAATACTTGGAGGGTCCTCCAAGGAGTGGACGTAGGCAAGGTTTGACGAACCACTATAACTCGGTGTGTCTTTCTTATTATTGCTTCCGCATTAATTTCCGCATTTTGATTTCTTTGTGGTGTTTTGGTTTGTAGTTTTGTTTAAAAGATTTTAAAAATCTTTAACAACCAAATCACCTCTCTCTTAATTAGCCTTGGGCTAGTTCATAAGGCTAACACCCTAACGAACTTTCAAATAAAGCAAAAGGCGTGAGCCCTAATTATATAAGTCATTGATTAAGTTTGATGTAGAATTAAAAACTCCTTTTCATCGTACACTCTCATTAGTAGCATGCCCCTGACTTATAGATGAATCTTTGTATTGAAGCCAAAGTCACCTACACTTATATATATAATCTCCCATAACTTCATAAAAATTGTGTTCAATAAGCATAACTTCTACAGTCTTACAGCAACATTAATAAAACTCAATTCTTTAATATCTAAAAGTTTATTTCAATTTGCTAAGCCAAGAGATAAAAAGATCTATGCAAAGAGAAACCATAAAAAGAAAAAGAGAAATACAAAAAATGGAAAGGCAGGCTAGTGAAGTGAACGCATAAGATGTAGGCATTATTGATCCAGATGAATGTGGCAGAGATGTCAAGATGGAAACTGGTATTTGGCGTGGGGAAAAGTTATAAAAGTCATTGAAGCTTATTCTAAAAGCCTGACATGAAAAGTGACTTGAATGGAAACTTTAAGTTAAGGGTATTTCGAACCTTCTAACATTTCATAAGATGTATAAGAATTGTCAGGAGACCTAGACTTGTGCATATTCAAAGCATAATATAATGTGGGAAATTAACCTACGTTGGGCGAAACAATAATAGGAGAGACTACCTTCTCTTCACTAGACCAATTATATCATGAAAAAAAAGGTTAAAACTAAGTACAAGAATAAATATTCATAAATCAGGAATCAGTATCTAAATGAAACTTCATCACTAGCAAACATGCAAGAAATTACTACTTGGCACGATCTGATGTCGAGATCATTTGCCTTCACAGCAACTGGTGGAATGAAGCCTTCAGTTGCTTGGCTCCATATGTCAAAACCTTTGATTATGAAGAGGCAGACTTGTCTTCAAACTTTTCTGCAAATTAAAGCACATGTAGTTCAGCATAGACTCAAAATTTACCTTAATGAACATTGAAGAACAACCAAAGCAACAACAAATGACAGACAGCTGTTTAACATCTACAAGATAAAATTTTCAAGCTAGCTTTGCTTAAATGATATGGAAATATAATCAAGGTTGTTAAAATCAGGCGAACAACGAACCGGAAGAATAAGAAATTCACGGTTCAACGAGTCGGACCGGGGGTCAAAACGAATGACATAATAAAAACAATATTATTAAAAATTCATAAATCATAAAATGATGTTCATCCAAATATAAGACAAAAATTAAAACAATAAAAACAATAAAACATAAATTTACATAATTAATTTAAAGAATTATTTAAAAATTCACATAAGAGCAAAAATCTCAAATCTCATAATCTAAGAGAATATACACTCAATAATAATGATGAATTTATATTTAAATATTTTTTAATTTAAAATTTGATTTTATATCTAAATTACATATAACTATATAATTTATATAAATATTACTATTTTATATTACACATTTAATATAAATTAATTCAAATTATAAGTTTATGAATTTAATATAAATTATATGTTATATGTCAAATATATTATCATCTATATGTTAATATTACT